AATGGAACATTCTCTGGTAATTAATTAAGGCATAAAATGACTGAGTCTGCGTCTCTGACTGGAGGATGGTTAATTATTTATAGTTAAATTAAGCCACAACCCCATGTCTGATGAAAAATACAATGCAACCTGCTTGCCATTTTTGTTTTTTCTTTAGCAACTTGTAGATGTAATGAGTTCTTTCATTTCACGGTACCGTTATTGCATTAAAAGTAATCACTGTGTTAATTATTTCAAAAGACATTGACCTTTATGGTTTTAAATTGAAGCTGCAGAAAAGCTCAGAGATGTCTGTATTTTTATGTTTTTAATACATTTTGTGGGAAAGGAAGTAAGGAATGTATTTAAATTTCATAAACAGTATCATAAACGAAAGCTGGGACAAGAAGATAAAGCTAAAGAAAGACAAATTTGACCTTCCTTCTGAATATGCCATCAAGACTAAGGTAGATTTGCAGCTATCATGTGGGACAGATATGCAAATGAGTGTCATCAGCAAGGTTTTTTTTATCATCCCATCAACTCATTAAACAGAGCGGCAGGTACTGTTTGCTCTCCTGTCTTCTTATTAGATAAAAACCGCAGTGTGATGACTACAGATACCAGCACCTTACTGAGCCGTTCAGTATCAGCGGGGAAATTAGACAAGACAATGCAAAACAACGCAGTGTGGTGCAACGCTAAGGGAACTCATTAGAACACTACAGCATGGGAGGAAGCCACATGATGCTTTGCAACATGTCATCAGGGGTGTTGTGAGTGTTATTACACAATCATAATTTGATAGCTTGTGCACAATTACTTCATTAATTTTGAGATTCTTGCATGACAAACTCACAGGCCAAAAAGGACACATGAGGAAAAGATGTAATGCATTACGGTGGATCAGAGCTCATGATTAGCTGCAGGTTAAATTGATCCAAGTTGCATATTTATGTATTGCTATTTCATGTTGAGTGGGGTTTTCTTCAATGCACTAGCCTTTAATGTATTTGTCAAGGTTTAGAGTTACATTGACAGGATGTGGATGTGCTGTGAATACGTGGTTATAACCACAGCAACCCCGTAAAGTAAACATGTTTTTGAGGGAGACAATGTTGTTTGAAGCGATGGTTAGACTTATGCACAGTAAGAGTAAAGGACTGGTTGACAGGTCTTGCAGAACCATCAGTTTCACTTTAGTTACATCTTTACATGTTGACATACTGTATTAATGTCAGGCTTGAAGAATTGGACTGTCATGAGTGTGGCTCAGCTGACACTTGAATCAGACTTTAGAGACAAAGACCAGCCGTGTCTGAGTGTCTTAATGTCTGTCAGACGGAGTAGGCTGAGACCATTAACCACACAAGCATTAGTGAAATTGCCCCCTGCTTCAGCTGCATAATATATCAGAATCATTAACGCAAACATTTGCAAATTAGCTTTCCAGCAAGCTCTACATGAAAGCGCTCCATACAGTTCTCCATATAATACTCATTAACCTCAAAACACAAAGCTTACAAACTGAAAACAAAGGGAAATGGAGAAGGGAAAACTCAAATGGGTAGGAATTTCAGTGGTTTGCTCTCTTGTTGTTTGGTGTCCCATGGGTACCTCTGTCTCTAGTGCAGAGGAAACACACCTGTCTGAAACTCAGAGCAGAAATCTCCTGCTTTTATCTCAATAAACAGACAAGCCAGGCAGCCATTATCCAAGGCGCTTTACTGCCTTTGTTTACCTCTCTGTAATGACTCACCTGTCATCAGGGGAATTTAACTGTGGTGGTGATTTATTAACTCTTTTAAATTAGAGCTAAATTAAATTCATCCATTTGATGCACGAAGATTGACAGGGAGTCTATTGCCTGGTCTTTGAGCAATATTAGACTTAGGGACAGCGGATATGTAAAACATGATATTGTCTTAGCTTCTACCCAATGTGCTTTTTACCATGTATGAAACAGGCATCCTTTCCCTCACTTTTCACAAGTGAGTTGCAATTGACAAATGAGATTTGTAGTTTGTTTTTGTTGCAAATCTGCATGCATTCCAGTACCCAAGACTGCACCCACAGCTTTGGTCATTTAATGTGTTTAGGCTTATGAGTATTTTCCATTTATTGTGACAATAGCACTGCTTGGTGATTCAGTGTGCCTTACTGTTTAAAAGCAGTTGTCTAACTGCCAGACGTTATGACCATCTACTCACCTCTTTCTTGCATTTAACAACTCCAAATCTTCAAGGTGTAAATGCTTCTCTGCAACTGCTCTTAGAGGTAAATAATAAAACATAATATACTGTATTTGTCAGTTTAAAAAAAGTTTGAATCTATTTTTGTGAAAGTAAAAAATATTTCTCACTAAATGTATTCCAGTACTTGGGTAAAGCAGAATCAGATCACATGTCTTTTCATAATCTACTAAAGAATCTCAGAATGACTTTTATTGCTCTCTCTATGTGTACCATTGTGATAAAACAATATTAAACTACTCTCATTTTCTACTATTGCACCATGCAGAAGGCTTATTACAGCCATTTAAATCTGCTCATAAAACTACAACTCTCAACTGTCATTTCAATTATGGTGATTGTCTGCTGTAATGACCTGTTGTGACCACAGGATGGCACTGTGGCTTTATCTGTAAACCCACTGAGCTGCTCCTGTCTGATCAGCAGTAAAAACTTTGAAGAAGTCTCAGATTCCCCCAAGGAAACCATGAAAGACAAAGTTGTGAAAGCTGGAGCCGAGGCGATTAAAAAAAAGTATGACTGTAAAAGAGCTGGTGTTGTGATCTTGTTTCCTGTGATCCATATATATTGAGCAAAGGGAGAGTGATGGTTGAGTGGGGACTGCAGCACCTCAGTGGCCCTGCAGATGAATGAAGATGCAAATGGAAGGAGGGGGAAGTTAAAGCCTTTAGTGACACTAAGCACACCCCAGAGGCCCTGGTGCAGAACTCTCAGCCTCAGCACATCAAGGACACAGCCCCTCTGTCTGTGCGTCCCCTTGGCACGCATCACATCCCGTCCATCTACATTTTCATCCAGACAAACACTTGACTCCTTATGCTGTGCTGAGCCAATGACAAGAGACAGATGTGCTCTCCTCGGAGAATCCAGTTTGATAAGCCGCTGCTCCACAAACTATTAAATAACCCCAAGAAACCACCGGAGTAAAAAAAGAAAATGCCCTATTTTACATGAGAATGGATATGCCTGGAAACCGTACCCTCACACGTTGGCTTCGCCTTGGCTGTAAATGTCAATTTCATGTCAGATCCTTTCTCTGTTCATCCATGACGTCTGTGATTGCTTCATCGTTTTGCATGAGAATGGCTTGAAATGAAGGTTGGCCAATTCTGGTGCTCATTTACAGTGCTCTGTAAATGCATCTGAAAGGGCCAGCAGACAATGATCAGGCTCTGCTTTGTAGAATATGAAATTGTGCACTGTACTGTAGATTTCTAAACTTATGCAGTGTGCTTCAACAGGCTCAAGTGTTTATAGTGTTCTAAGAGCAGCTTCCTGGTGGGACCTTGGCTATGCTAAGGATTGTCACAACCATGATGCAGGCCCCATGTGGCATTCTGTTTCTGTGAGTCATTCAGGCATACAGTACTCTGGCTTTCCTCTCCACTGGTTACAGAAATACAGGTGAGCCCACAGCAGGTGAACCTGTCATAGTCAGCACCTGCAGGATCCTAACAGCCAGCAGGGGAAAACTGAAGGACAGAGGAAGTTTTGTTGTGAAGAGTTCTGCTGTACCACCTGGGAAGCTTAGTGATGAAGGTGAAACACAATGTTGTCCTGAAGACACATGGTGAGAAAGACAAACTGTTATTAAATGACATTACTATATGTAAAATAGACTTTGCTTTGTGTGCTAAATATGTAAAAAGAGATTCTTCTACAAAATTCAAATCAGACAATTCTAAATTGAGAACATGCAGTGTCTGTTAGATTATTTAGGTCATCATTTAGGTAATAAGTCAAAACTCAAATGCCCTTTTAGCCTTTTAGAGCGTTGCTCATACAGTTCTGCTTTGCACCATAATTTGTTTAAATGTTGATTTATGAACTAATTGTCTGTAATTGCTGCTTAGTGCCACTGTTAATCCAAGCTGTCTGCCTCCTGAAGCACATTAGGCCAGATTTGTATAATGAAGTAATTAGTTCAATTACAAAGAAGAAAGTACGGATAGCGTAAGAAACGGGTAACAAGAAGCTAGAAAGTACTCACATGCCATGAGCGCGTTTTCTTTTGCTATTACGAAACATACTCACAGAGTATATGAAAATAGCCTTGTTGTGAGGAAATGGTTTTCTTAATTAAAGCTTGCACATGTCAACAAAGTTAATTTGAATCTTCTAATATGGACACTTATTTATTCTGTCTGGGCTCAGTTGCCAGTTTTGCTGCAGCATCTCACATATCAAGTTATTTCAGCTTGCTAACAATCCTTCGCTACTTCACACGTTCAAAAAATATAGGTCTGTGTTTTCTATTTGGCTTCTGTTGCCCGCCAGAAGCTGCCATCACAACCAAGAGTGCTCCATTGTCTGCTAGCATTGTCATTGTTATTAGTCTTTTGGATTGCCTGTGGAGGTATCGGCAGGCTCCGGGGAAGCAGGCGCCAGGCTGGATAATTAGTTGTTCTTCGATGCCAGACGGGCACATTGCCGTCACTTGGAGGGGAAATGGAAAGTGGCATCACTATCACAGTAACACCGGAACAACCTTTGGTGTGAGGGCTGGGTTCCAGCGCATCTGTCACACACTAGTCATCTACCCACTGGCAAGACAATAATGCTTACCAGTCTAGCAATACACAGCATGGATAATTACTTTATCTGAAACAGAATTATTTTTGTCATATTTGTCATAATTAGTTGTGGTGTGGTAGAATCGATAGTGGGTTTCTCTATTGGTTCCGGTGACGATTGTGGACAAAGAGATTGGACGATTTTGCCATTTTAAATCCTCCATAAAAAAACAAACAGAAAGAGTATGCACAAATGTTAGGTGTGATGCAGACTTTTTATTTAACAATTTCATCCCCTGAGCTGGCTATTGGGCAGCCTCTGACCTCGCAGAAGCTGCATCTTCCAACATTACATCTCCAGCCATGAGCTTACTGCAGGAGCTGCTGGTGACCCTGGGGTGACGGCTGTGCTGGTTTCTACGAGAGATGCGGATGATGATGAGAAGTATAGAGATGCCTGCGAGCAAGGTACCTCCGAAGCCCAGCAGGATGCCATACAAAAGTGGCAGAGCTACATCCAAAGGCCCCTTCTGGTACAGAGGGACAGGAGCTCGCTCTACAATCAGATCCAGGTCACGCCATGTCAGATCCCGTACTAACAGACACACACACACACACACACACACACACACACACACACACACAAGCACAAACAGGATAAACACACTTACTACCTCAAAGGACTGCGGGAGCATTTTTGACAAGTTTTAACTTGAATGAAGTACCAGGGAGGATTTTTTAAAAAATGGACAGGTGATAATTACATTTTTGAATTTCTAGGTATCCTGGGAAATACTCCTCGTATAGTGAGAGTGTTGATGTTGAGAAAGTAATGAGTTGGAAGCATGCCCACGGCCACCAAATCTAATCCGGCATCTCATCTAAACACTTAATAGATTCAGGGTTTGGTGAAACATTATATCATTTGTCATTCAGACAGTCTCCAGAGGGATAACCCAAAAATCTCCACTTGACATCAATAGCCGAAGCTATTAGGGGCTTAGCGTGGCCACACATGTTAAGACTCAGCTCTCCATCACTAATTCTATTTTATAGTGTACCAAACCAATGTGACTCTTTCAAGCTTTAGGAAATTACCTTGTCTTTTTCTGACCCTCTGATCTTCCTTCTGGTGGTCCTCTGTTTCCAATTTTACTGGTGGGAAGTTTAAAGAGTTGACATATTTGTGATAGCCTTCAACAAAGCGTTTCAGGCTCAAGGCTTTGTCCTGGTTGATGTTCTTCCCCACTTCTGTAAAAACACACAGCACAGAGACAGTCTAAAAGTATTTCTTTGTCATTCGCATGCAAAACGTGTATGTATTTCATCCTATAAAAGATTGTCAATTTGACTTTAATTGTTGCTTTCTTGCCCTGAAAAAAATTTGTTTTGGCAGGAGAGCAACTGTTGTCCTTCATTTTCTGAAAAAAAATGAATTAACCATTCAAGTTTCTACGTACGAGTAGATCTCTTCAGAACTGCAATCAAGTGTACGATAATTGCTGAATTCTGCATCCACATAGTTTTTCATCAAAGCTACCCCCCCCCCGTCCTATAGCTCATCTCTTCCCATCCTCTCCTTGTCTTTTTTTTCTTTCTCCAAAGCTGATGATGAAAGGAGCAGATGGTTTGTTCTGTGGCTGGTGTCAGCTCCACTGAGTCCTCTGTCAGATCATTTACACCTCCTTCTATCCAACGCCACTCGGCTGTGGAGTTGTGTGTACACTGGACTGCAACACATGCCAGAGACTGGCACTGTGCAAAATATGCCACTTTTGAGGTTCCAATTAAAATGAATCTCAAAGTAATGAAGCAATTACGCGCTGTTGTTCAAGTCTTGAGGAGGCCTTCTTGACCGAAATAAACCAATTTTTGAAAGTACACCGCCATGTACCCAAATTAGGCTTTGTTCCAATTTCCTTTTGTCAAGGGACATGCTGAGATGTCTCCTCATGACATCTGCTGCTATGACAAACACTGTACTGTACATAAAAATTAACTATTATTACTTGTATTTATTCTAACCCATTACCTTAGTTGCACCACACATAATATTCAGTGAACACATGCTCTTTCTGTCCATTTGTCTCTCACCAATGGCAATATCTGTTCTGCCGATGTGCTGCAAGGCGCGAGAAAGCCTGTCGTAGTAGGTCTGCTTGCCGTACCTCAGCAGCCAGTCTGTCAGGGCCGTCCGGCACTGAGCTTCACTATCTAGTAAACATAAAACATATGGTCCTCAGACAGACAGGTCTCTGACAGTCAGCTTACTGCCAGGAACTCCCCAAGCTGAGCTGGACGTGTGAGAAACAGACAGGTCTCAGGGTGGACTTTTCTTCATTTCCACTTTATTGCAGCTTACAGCCTGTAACTCTTAAAGGATTGGTTCACAATTTACCAATTATATCTTAGATCATATTAGATATTTTCAGTGTAAGCGATGGGGGACAAAATCCACTGTCCTCTTGTTGTGCAAAATGCATACTAATAGTCAGCTGAAGTGAATATGACGCTTCAGTAGTCAAATCATAATCTTTTTAGTATAGTAAAAGGTTACCTCTTTGTGTTATGCCAGACAATGTTTCCTTGCTGAGCTGCAGTGAAAGGAGAGCAGCACAGAGACGGCATTTTTGTAACTTTTGAAAGACACCCACTTATCGCAGACTGTTAAGGCCTCATAAATAACTTCAGCTGAACATTATGCAATTTGCACAGAAGAAGGACTGTGGATTTTGTCCCCCATCACACACACACACCGAAATTGCTTTAAGAGGGGACAATTATCATTGTCGACAGGAGAAATAATTTCAGCAGTGAGGGAAGAAGTATTCAGTTCTTTACATGCTACAAGTAAAGCAAAGTGGGGTTAGGTAAAAGTATGAAAGTATTATCAGCAAAATGTACAGTAAAAAGTCAACTCTTTGTAAACTCAGAAAAACAGCCCTGTTTTCAGCATTCTCCTGCTAAAAATTTTCTGTGTTAATGTTTATTTAGCTTAAGAAGTAGGGGAATTTTCTCAACCCACAAAGGAACATTTAACGTTAATCTTTTAGTTTATCAGAAAAATTCAAATTCAAAATAACCAAATTGGTATATGTTTTTAACTGGAAGGGAATGAAAAATAATCTGCAAAGTAGATAGTAACGTTAGCTAAAGCTGTCAGACAAATGTAACGTTAGTGGAGTAAAAAGTACAAAATTTGTCTCTGAGATGTAATGGAGTAGAAGTATAAAGTTACATAAAATTGAAATGCTAGTAAAATTGCAAACAGTAAAATACAAGTCATTAGACATGTATGATCTCTGTGGACTAAAGTGCCTCCGGTCAAAGGTTAGATGTGTTTCAGATCATGATGCGTACAAACCCGCAGCAGAAGAGGTGTCTCTCTTGGCTCGAGGCTTGACATTTAGTTGTTTTTTTCCTGGTGAGAGGCGCTCAAGATGCTGGAAGATGTTCTCCTCTGGGTGAGAGAGGGCGAACAGAAGGTCCTCACACTCTTTAGACGTCAGCAACTCCACTAAGCGCTCCAGCTGATGAACACCAATGTCTTCTGCCACTAAATATCCATAACACATAAGTGATGAAGGCATGACCGTTATACAGTACACTGTAAATTCCACTAAGCATAATGCTGACACTACACAACATTTCTGCAGCACGCCTGTGCTCTCAATTAGCAAGTGCTGTTTGTGTGGCGGGAAGCTGTCATGTTACCCTCCTCAGCTGCAGAGAATAGAAACTGAATAATCAACATTTTACAACAGAGAACAGAACAATCAGCAAATCCAGTCTCACTGTGAGTTTTTTCTTTTGAATTCATGTAACATGCTGTCTGCTGATGTAACTGCACCTGCTGTAGGAACATTTGCTCTCACCTGTGTCCTCTCCGAGTGTTGATCTCAGAAGTAGAAAGATGAAAAAGCGACAGATTTTCCAGACTTTCATGTCAGCTGAAGTAGTATGGGCAAATGCAAGCTGCTAACAATATATTATATAAGTTTATTTTCAAAACTGCCTAATAATCTAGAATTTGTTTAAAATGTAAACAATGCAACTACATTTTTGGCAATGTTCTTGTTTTGGAACAGGCAAAATATATTCATGCCACTGAGAATATGTTCATGGTTGCAATATATATATTTTTATCCTTAATTTGCAAGTGATAGGAAAAACATCTGCAATTATATGAGCCATTGTCAAAACTGCCATTGATTAATCTTCTGACAGTTGACCTCACAATAATGTGATGATATGAATATATTCATGAAAAATAATATAAATATTTTAGTATAATATCAGTATTGCAAATTATATTATATATATTACATAAATGTGTGTGAAAGTGGTTTTAGGTAACAAAGCTGAGTTTATAGTGTAACATACACATCTGTTGCAGATTAACCAGACCACACAACATCTTCTGAGTGTCTCAGCTTGGACATTTTCTACTCCTAACCCTCGACTCTACTACTACTACTCTGTGTTGTACTCTTTGTGTTGTGGTCATGCACTTAAAAGCTTGACATTGTTGAGTAACTTCAGTAAGGTTCATCCCTTGCCTTTGAGACTTGGAGGGTTCATTTCTATTTATGTGAGTGTACCCACATGCATAACCATGGGCCAAAAATATGTTGCTTTGCTCTGTGGTATTATAATGATTTCACATTTCAAAAAGAATGATTGTCAGGAGACAAAAACAAAAGAGACCCCAGGAATGAAGGGACATTGAAAATTCTATTGAACTTTAAAGCTTTATCAAGACCACACACCAACATTACAAAGAGGGTGATGCATGTAAAATCATAATGGTTGTAATATTGAAATATGGAAAAGGAAAACAGCAAAGACCATAATGTTTCTTTGCCTTTGATGTGCATTACTGGAGATAAGTATGCTGGAGTAGTTGAGATGCATCTCTCTAGCAGGGAGAAACATGTTTAATGACAATATTGTGTGGGCTACAGTGAGGGCATGTTTTAAATTGTTAATAAGCTTCATTTGCCAAACAGTAAAGGTTGTTTGTGTGGGCTGAGTCTCAAATTCTCCACGTTGACTAATGAAAAAAAACCATCATGCTCTGGGGCTGAGAACCACAGGAAGTTGGGTGTGGGTGGTATAATGGCTTTGTAATGATTTGAGATGTTGCACTTGTAGAAAAAAAGAAACAGTGGGCACAAGGTCAAGAAATTTATTCATATTACTTTGTTGCTCAGTACATCATCTTACACAACATATTTTGAAATATATATTGCAGGAAAAGTACATACAATATACTATTATACGATCAAATAATCAAACAAACAGTATGATCTTGCAAAAAATGTATAGTTTCCAATGTTCAAAACGCAGTCAAAATGAAATAAACAGATTTCTTTGACTTGTGCCTTCTGGTGTTGTGACTGTTAGCCTGTGGAGCCGTATCCCCATGTCTCTTACACTTCACACCACTGAAATCTGGTTAAATACAGATACAGACTCCGGTGGAATGAAGGATAGAACACATGGAATATTCTTGCAGAAAGTGTCTGAAAAAGAAGACACAAATATACACAACTCCTTCTTTATTTCCAATGTTAGATTATCGTTGTGATTCTGATTCATGCCAGTTTTCCCCAGGCGATGCACCACAATAAGTGAGTTTATTGCAGGAACACAGAGTGCTAACTTTGAGGGTTTAAGCTTTACTTTCAATGTTAAGCTTCAGGATGGAGGCCGACCCTGGCACCTGGTGCAGAGCGATTGGGAATGTATGATTTATAAGGAGGCCTCCGAGGTTGAGGGGGTGGCAATGAGTGCAGCAGGAATTGGATGTTGGCCTCTCCCTTTTCTTGAGTTTAAGTTTGAGCCTGAGCCTGAGCGAGACCAGGCCTGTCCTGCTCTGTGGCTCCAGGCTTTCAGGCTTCTGTTGAAATCCTGGGCTCTGGCACGTTATCACAGGCCTGAACTGAATGACTGTTTAGTCATCAGTGATGCAACCCCACCACAGCCCTTCTCGAGCCCACCTCTGCCACCAGACACCCCGGCCAGTCTCGCAATCTGTCTGCCTCAGAGTCATGCTCCTAGGGAAACACACCAACTCAACACGAGCAACACCTGAAGCTTTCTAATAGTAATACTTTCCCCTCTTTCATGCACTTACATTCGCACACTTTTAAACACAACTGCCACCTTCCTACGCCCAAAAATCTGTTGGTCCTGCTGAATCTTAAAAACAAATGTTGCTTCTACGTACATGATTTCTCCAGGTGATCTTATCATCCTAATAAATTTGCCACAAGTACTTTTGTAAGTTTACTTACTTACTTAATTTTGTGACTATTAGTTATTGTTGTAGGTCTAGACAAATCTACTGTCTGAAGTTTTTTCAAGATTAGACTTTCTGTGCATAGATGAATGCCTTACCTTGCTTAAAATGCATTACTCACCTTATTTGCTTCTTTAGTTCCCCAGCGACTGTGTGAATGCAATGCAAATCAAACTACAAAAATGCTCAAAGCAATCTTCACAAGGTACTGAAGGTACAACCGACAATGTGCTATCTGTCTCCTCTCTGACTTTTTTCTCCACCTCATTCAGGTATTGGTGTTTTAGAGGACTGTGCCGACCAATAAGATTCAGGCACCTGAGAAGGACCACCCTTTTTCAGCCATAAAAAGCTGCCACACCCTGCAATGTGGCATGGTTGTAATGCCGAAAATGAAGAAAAATATATAATAAACACAGACACTAGAATCAAAGTAAAGGTAGTATTGCCAAAACGGCTGTGACCTTACAGCGGTTTTAGTAAAATCGTCAGTTACTTTAATCTCTCTAACAGACACAACATCTTATGCACTTCAAGGAAAGACTCTAAGGAAGGCATAAACTTACAAATGAAATAAAGGAGTTTCATGTAATATTCACCTAATAAGAGCCTTGTTTTCATTATTTGATGAGTCTCTGCTATAATTTGCTCATTTCTGTCTCGCTCTCTAGGGTAAACCACATTCTTCATTAGGCCAGAGCATCTCTAAAGCATTTCAGAAGCCCTTCAAACCCATTTTCGTAAAATATTTGAATGATAATTTGCAACTGTGACAAGAAGAAATTTTGCCTTTGCAGTTTGTTAAATCGGTTTATATTCTTCCTCCAGAGAATCATTAAGCCCTACAACCACTAAAATCCACACTGTAATATATTATCAAAATATCTCAAAATAACTGTGCTGTTAACTGAACTGCCATCTGTACAACACGCAGTGTACTTTGTTTTCTGGCAGAAAACAATCCTAACACATACATTTTATTAACAAGAAACTTTGCAGCTCTGTTCTCTAGCTGGAAGTATCCTCTTTTCAGCCTTAAATGAAAAATTGGGCGACACCCGACATCCTTCACTGTGAAAGGAGCGACTTTTTCTTTTTGAAAAGCATTCCTTTCACCCCTCACAATGGCAGGGTTGGGGGGGATGGGAGAGGAGGAACAGACACATTCCTGAGGTGCACCAAGCTTCACCTGACAAGATATTTCTCTCGAGAGCACATTCATTTGAGCCCAATCTTCTTTATATGTGATTTTATTGACAAGGACACCAATATCTTTGAGTTATGAGCTGTTGTTCTCTAGAGACAGACAGTGCTTTACCTCTGTGTTCTGTGTGGGCCAGATAGCTCTGGACAGTGTGACTTGTTCGAGGTAATCTTTTGGACCTCTGGAAGGTGACAGCTGAAAAACGAGCCTCTAAAAACACTCTGCTCGAAGGCAGCCTCATGTCTGGCTTACTAACCACACAGAAAAAGACTGCAGGAGATTTTTTTTAGGTCCACTGACTATGTAGCCTCGCGCTGTGAACTGTCTGAACCAATTTTTTCAAATGTATATGCAAATAAATACGTAATAAAACCAATTTATTTTCTTTTCCAAGCTATACTTACTAGACACACTGGCAGCACATATCATTGTGCATCAACTGATGTCTTCTTGAAGTCTCTGATAAAGGTGTGTGCTGTTTTTGGGAAGCTGCCTCAAATGAGATCAAAAGCCCTGGTGCTAAGGTGCAGCTCATATTCACAAAAAAAGCATTGTGTTTAGAATTTTTTTATTGATATTACTAAAGCAATATCTCAAAAAGTGTAAACATCAAGCACTATGACAACAAGCAGTCCACAAAGCGTGTTCGCCAGTTTAACAAGTTCTGCTGAGTAGATTTGATTGCTGCTGGTTTATGACTGTGCCTCAGATCTCAGATTTCTGTTTTAAGGGTACTGCTGTTCAGAATAAAACAACTTAAAAATGTTGTTCTTTTTAGTCGAATATTGTATTTTGTGTCCCAGTGAGAGGCATACCTTAAAGTTGACAGGTTGGTCAACAGTGCATTCAGGCCTGAGGTTTCTAAAAACCTGCACCTCCATCTTTTGCTGGAATGAACACGCAAGGTTACTGGTGAGGAAACACAGTCATTCCGAGATGGGGTGAGGGCTGAGCCCGAGACAGAGATTTGTTGAATGAAGAGGTGCTGAATTTCAGCATTATACTCCCTGAAGGCAGCAGTGGAGGCTCCGTTGAAACACATCACTGTGAGGAATTTCTAGAAAGCCTCTGTGATGCATGTCATTTCCACTGTAATCAGTATGTTTTACAAAAGCACAACAGTGCCAAAATGTGAAACACGGTACTGTATTTGACATAATCCACGACATTCACATGACATGTTTTTTTTATTAAATTCACACCTGAACAATAATCATTAAAAACAGCTTTGTGGTTAATGTAACAAGGTCATAAATTAAATTTTAAAACAAAAGACTTACAAAATCATTTATGGTTATGATTACAGTGTTAGGTGCTAACCCTGGACGTCTACTACTTTCCACTTCTGCCATTTGATTGAAGTGATAAAATCACTTTTACAAATGAAACTGATCATTTTAACCAAAATTTAATTTACAGGATAAAAGCTGTTAGATAACTCCTGTATGATGTAGGAGTGAACCATCATTGCAGAAATTTGCATCAATCTGCATCTACATTAAAATGCAAATTACAGTATGTTGGGCTGTAACACTAATTCAGAAATGTGTTCACTAATGACACACGTAAATGTTACATAAATATATCACAGCTGTTACAGATGCTTATGCTTTATTCATATTGCATGAAACATGCTGCACTATGAGCATGCTTTATTGTATATGCTATCTTCTACGCGTCTGCTTCCGTAAGGGCTCAAAACAAACAATAATCCCATCTTTGAATAATGACACAAAGCTGCTTTTTCATTTTTAAATTATGGTATTTGCTTCAGAAGAAGACATTTAGTGCAATTTGAATGTTTTTGTGTGAGATTCCTGGGTGTCGGCCCTGTCTGCAGGCTCTATAGCCCGAGGCCGCCCAGAGGTTGTCTCCCTACCTTGATGCTCCCCTCATCTCTTTCTCCCCCTCTCTGACGCCTCATTGGCTGATTCTGTTCCGACTTGCCTGGGCAGGAATGCTCCTACCCTCTAATGCACTTTTATGTTCAAGCAATTTGACAATGAAGAGTGCCATCATTTTGCAGCATAAATATTTCATTCCCCATTTGGATGCAGATTTGAGATGTCACACCCAGAATACAAATGGCCTGTCTCTCCCATGGAAAATAACGGAGGCCCTGTGTGAATATGATTTGTGTGAGCTCTAGACAAATATGGTGCAATGTGATTAGGTCTTATTGAGAATCACTGTCACTGTAAAAAAACAAAATAATAAATAATAAAGTCTGAATCATAATCAAATTCCACAATTCCAACTACTGGCAGCAGCCAGGAGATGCAATTACCTGAATGTCCAACATTTTTTTAAAAATCACTTTTTAAAAGTTATTCTTTTCACTTCTGTGTTCATTAAAATTGATCAAACAACACAGAATGAAGAGGCCTTGAAAGTGAACCATTTTAGGCAGTTTCAGAGACACTGCTTCCTCCTTCCCACAATTCCTAAGGGAGTCTTTTGTTGTCATTTGGACTTTCATGTGCAATACTCAGTGATCCTGGGTCATGATGTTTCTTAGCAAATACTGTTAATACTGTGAATGAAAGGGCTTTAGAAATATATCTAGAACTTTTACCAAGGAGAAAAGTAACAAATACATACACTGAAGTACTGTATTATTATTTCCAAATTCCCTACATTTCAGAGGTAGCCTACATATTGTAGTTTTTACTCCACTGCATTTATTTGACAGCTATTATTGCAAATTATTTTCATCAGTAATAATAAATCAATAATATAACACTCTGATGGGAGGCATTCTGCTCCCTAATGAGTCATCACTCACTTTTGATACTTGATACTTTGTACTTAAGGGTCTACAGGTTTACCTTAGCTTTTCAGAGCTTTTTCCTTGAAAACACTATAAAAGCGGTAAAAGTTAACCAAAACAGTAAGGCAGGAAAAACAAAATAATAAGCTGAAGGAAGCTATAAAGCTCTGTAGAGCTGAGAGGAACTATTGATTACAACCACTTTAACTAAAGGTGTCAATATATATTCATTCCCTGCTACTGATTAAATAGAATTCAACTCATGAGAAACTTTTTCCCCCCTTAAACGCAAATTTAGGGTCAGAGCTCTCCAGTGCCATCTAGTGACCACTTCTACATGACTGCTCATCGTAAAAACTAAACACTCAAACAGCACTCAAACGCAGTGTGTGCAACATGTCAAAAGTTGCTTCCCAAAATGAATGTGTTGGGCCATGAGTGAGCTGGATAATTCTCCCATTCAAGTGTGAGACAGTACCCGGTGTTTATGTACTTCTCTCACTGACATGGTGTAATGGAACGTGCAGTAATAACAGTGGGGGGATGGCATCACAGCAGGAATCATTGAAAACGCTCAGTTTCGCTGCAACATTGCACCTTATCTGAATATCACTGGAGCGTGAATAGCTAGTCAGTACCATCACTGCAGTGCACAACACCATATTAGTTATTTTATTTTCTTGAGTACGAACCGTCAGGAAAACACATCGCTACTGTTGCCATGGGGATTAAACACACTGAGTTGTTATACGAGGCATTGTTTCATTATGTTTGGCTGCATTAGTAGTCACATTTGCAGAATTTGCAACATTTTCTCTGCCAGGACTGTGTTCTCTTGGTGAGACTACAAATACAAAAGCTCCCAAAACACTCCCATTTTCTTTATAATGGTGCACTGCAGCCTCATCAGTGAATGAGTCTGGACTTGTTTTCTGTTCAAAATACCTGTCTGGTTTTTCACTAAGCTTCTACCTCTATAGAAACTGGGGACATTCCAGCTGACTGGAGGTGCTGATTAGTCCTGGTTTGTTTTGAATGAGAGTGTATGGGCCTTCTGTGTCTGTGTTGTGGGAGGGGACTGAAGGCGTAGTTGAGAGGTCAACACTCATCTATTGACAAAGGTGAGACAGACATGACCAACACCCTTTGATTAGCTAGTCCATTAGTTAACTTGGTCACACAACAGAACAGCACCAGGGTCAAATTGCATTTCGTCTTTCAAAGGGTCTGATGGTGATTAGAGCAAGGATTCAAGCTTCTCTGTGT